CAAAAAAAGAATAATTTTTCTATTAAGCTCACACTACTCAAGACACTGTCTAATATTATATCTAAATATATCCTTTAAAGAAAATAATTTGTGGAAGACTAACAGTAGTGGTCAGAAAAAATATTTTATCAAGGCTTTCCAAGTGTAGTTAATTACATTTGACCTTGAAAAGCTTATTTGAAAAGCTGTTACATTGGTAACTTTTCAGACGTTCATAAAAAAATTGTTTAGGCTAGAATAAGGGGGAGGAAAGGGCAGCTTAATTTCTTGCCTAATAAAAACCAATTACAATATAAATTCCTTGGTTATTATATGGAAAAATAATTACGAGCTTTATTGATTTCTTGAAACCTTTGTATGGCTGTAATAAAAACTTTATAGACTGATAGGCTATTAACATGACTTATAGGTTTATTTCATTACTGACCAAATTAAAAAGGAAAATGCAAACAAAAATATTTTATTCCAATAAAGGTACCAAAATGTTAATCCTTGTTACAGACTTTTGTTTTTTTCACACACTAATAAGTTAATACTCACAGATAACTAGAGTAGGTGCAATGTCTATATTTAAAAAGTAAAAATGCTATGGTTTCTACAGAGGTACTTCACTCCTATTCTAAATTTTTGCTTTTTGAAACTGAAATTCAACAGAGCAACTGTGAATGAGCAGGATTAGTGTAGAGACAAGTATTGTAACATTGTAATTAGTTCAGTCCCAAACTGATCAATAAGTTTTTAAATCTAGAAAATGGGATATAGCAGTATATATTTTCTACATGTAATATAATTTTTGGAGCTACTGCATATATATCCATTAGAGGACGGCTGTCTGTTGTTGTGTCTCATCGAAGTCAGAAATGACTCAGAGAGGAACCAACAGAAGGCTTTCTGAGGCATTTTAATCACAGGAGGAGACTGCCTATCTTTCTCTCATGGAGCAGCTGGTGGATTCAAACCACATGTCTTTGAGATGGCAGTGCAGGCTACCACAGCTCCATCAGGGTACAACTGTTAGACAGTTTGAGGCCACCAGGTGCTCTGCAGATGGATGGACAATCTCTTCCCATGTGATTAACTGCTCTGAAAACCTAAAAGAGGCTCAGCTATGGGTCGGTTCTGACTCTACAGTACTCAATAACAACAACAACAAAAACAACAACAATTAATTCAGGTGTCCGTAGACTCTAGATTCTTTTCTAATTCCTACCAGGAAGATTTCTGGTCTGTTAGTAGGAATAGCTCTACCAACCTTAGCCAATTTCAGTAAAGACCTGTTAACTTATTGTTGCTGCTGCTGTTGTTGTTATGTGCCATTGAGTGGCCTGTGACTCAAAGCGACTCTATGTACAACAGCCCTAAACCCTGCTCTATCCTGTGCCAATTGCACTGCCTCTGACACACCCATTCCAACTATCCCAGTCACTGAATCAATCCACCTCATAGAGGGTCTTCCCCTCCTGTGCTGTCCCTCCACCCTCCCAAGCATGATGTCCCTCTCTAAGCATCGGTCCCTTCTTACAACAAGTCCAAAATATGTTAGATGGAGCCCCAGAATTCTTGCTGGTTTAACCCTCTTTAGGATGAATCTGTTTGTTTTCTTAGCAGTCCATGGTACCCTCAATACTCTTCTCCAGCACCACAGCTCAAAGGTATCAATTCTTCTATCCTCCCTAATAATTAATTGTCCAACTCTCTGACACGTAACAAGTGATTGCAAAGACCATGGCCTATATCAGACACACCTTATTCTCCAGAGTGACACTATTGTTCTTAAGTACTTTGGATAGGTCCCTAACAGCAGACTTTCCCAAGGCAATATGTCTTTTAATTTCCTGGCTGCTGGTGCCAAGACTGTTGACTGTGGAGCCAAGCAGATTAAAATTGTTAACAATCTCAATCTCTTCACCATCCATCCTGATGCTGCCAATTGTTCCAGTGCTGAGAATCTTTGTCTTCTTGATATTGAGCCTCAATCCATATTGAAGGCTGCAGTCCTTGACCCTCTGCAGCAAGTGCTTCAGGTCCCCCTCAGTTTCAGCAAGTAGGGTTGTGCCATCTGCATAAAGCAGATTGTTGATAGGTCTTCCACCAATCTTGACCCCACACTTCTCCTCATAGAGCCCAGCCTCCTGGAAAATCTGTTCTGCATACAGGTTGAAACGTATGCAGATAGGACACATCCTTGTCGTACACCCTTTCCAATTTTGAACCATGTAGTATTCCCTTGCTCTGTTCTGATGACTGCCTTTTGGTCCAAATATAGGTTTTACATTAGTACCATCATGTGTTCTGGGATTCCCATTCTTCTCAGAGTCAGCTACAGTTTGTTATGATCCACACAGTCAAATGCCTTTGTATAGTCAATGAAACAAAGATATACATTCCTCTGGTATTCCCTGCTTTCAGCTAAGATCCATCTAACATTAGCTACAATATCCCTAGTACCACAACCCCTTCTAAACCCAGCCTGGACTTCTGTTAGTTTTCTGCTGATGTGCTGTTCCAGTCGTTTTTGGGTAATCTTCAGTAGAATCTTGCTTGCATGTGAAAGCAATGATATTGTTCTACAGTTTCCACACTCTTCTTTAGAAAACCATTTAGTCATCATAATAGAAGGACAAAATGTTTCTAATTTTGTATAAAATTGATAAACACTCTATGAAATAATGCAAACAAACTATTCTTTCTTCTCAAGTCAAATGCATTTCTTTTATTGTTACTGAGTCACAACCAATAATATTCTTGGGACAATACAGAGCAGTAGTACCAGATGCTACAACCCTGAGAAAGATTTGTTCCAAACAATTATTTTCTCTTTTGTGCGTTTGGTCTAACTATAACTTTTTGTTCATAGGTTTTCTATGAGTCATACTCACCTCAATGGCACCTAACAATAAAAACAAATTACATTTCCGGGCAAGGTGACATTATACTTTTGGGGGGGGGGGAAATAAAAGACAATGGGGTTTCCTCTTCTGACAGAAGTGGCATAAATTTCCAGAAACTGAATGCAATACTGCTACTATCTCAAACTCAAAAGTCACTGTCTTCGAGTTGGAACTAACTCACAACTGCTCCCCCCAGTGGGTTTTCAGACACTGTGAACTGCACAGAAGACTGTCCATCTCTTGCCCAAGGAGCCTCTGAGAGAGTCACCATTGCCTTCGGGTTAGTAGCACAATAACCCACAGTCTACGCCGAGCTCCCTGTCACTATTACTACATATATCTATTTATACAGACAGAGATACGCAGAGCAAGAGAGAGTTAGTTCTCTCTCCAAGGAACAGAAAGAAATGCCAAGAGCAATGAAGGAGACAGAGTCAATGAAAGCTAAGAGATTCTCTCAGTGGTTCACTGGAATAGTGAATCCTGCTTACAAGGCTGTTCTTTGATAACCTACGTAACTTGCATTAGGTTTTTTCATCTCCCATTCCACAGATAAGGATGCTTAATTTACTCAGATCAGGCAGACAGTAAGGCAGAGCTGGGGCTCAAACATGAGTTTGTATGACTCTGATGCTAATAACTGCACCGTATTATTTTGCTGAAATACTGCCTTAGGCCGTCAGCATCCATGGAAGAAGTCTAGATCAGACTGTGATCCATTCAACAGTGAGCCATATCTGAGCTGTTGTGTTGCTGACAAATTCTGATTTCTCACACAAAAGCCTGGGCCTAATATGAAAAAATGTACACTTGGAATCAAACAGCATGATTTCTAAGGCACTCTTTTAGGGCCTCTTTCATTCCGCATAATTCATCCATCCTTTTTTTTTTTTTTTAAGTTTACAGAAAAGTTGGATTTCCATTCATTCACTGATTGTTGCACCAGAAACCTATACACATTTTTTCTTTTCTGGCACAAAAGGGGATGGCCCCTCCTCCAGCAGAGCGTCTGGTGGATTCAAACTGCACCTTCAGGAAAGTGGCATCCTTATACTTTTTTTCTTTCTTGTTGTGTACCATTGAATTAGATCTGACTGGCACAGGAGGAGATTGCCCCTCCTTCTCCAGCAAAAGCATCTGGTGGATTTGAACTGCACTCCTTTGAGATTACAGTGCAGCTTCTTGCCAATAGGACACTAGAGCTCCCTGTCCCATTAAAATCTTAAGGCAGTTCCATTACAGGGAAAAAGAAAAACCAGCTTTAGGTTCCCGGTCAATTAGTACTTCATGATATCTTTTAGAGAAGTCAGATAACTAAGTACGCCTAAAATGAGGAGTCGGACTGATGGCTCTGTGCCTAAGTCTTACAATCCAGTCTGAACATTAGCAGAGTGCCCAGTATGTGCTCCGAAAAGGCTAGCAAGTGAGAATGTACACATATGCAAACTGTACCCATAACAATTTGACACGGAGAGTTAAGACTCTTGATTTTTTTCCCTGATGTGAAGGCCAAGTAATAATTACACTCACAGAAACATGAAAGAGGGTTCTAGTAGATTAATTTGCAACAGTTTTGGATATTAACTCAAATCTTTCTTTAACCAAGTATACACACTTAAGGCACGCACACACACCTGGGGAGAAAGGAAAGAAAGAGATCAGAAGATCCCATTTAGGGTTAGGAGACTACTTAAAGGTAGAGTTGAAGGCCTGCACTTGTTTCACTAAAAGGGGAGCATTGTAATGACTAAGGAGAGGGACTGATTAAATCCCATTAATCAGTTTGTGTTCATGGCCAGAAAAGAACGCCCTTTTCCAGGAGCACTTGTCATTATAAAACAGCAGCGATCAGGGGGAGAGAGAAACATATCTCAACTAGTTAATCCCAGCTGCACATATGCCTGTCAGCCTTTTCCAATCAAGGTTCTGCGGGAAAATAAAACATTCGACTGTTAATAATTCAACCTGGCTTCCAAGACATGCATCTAGAATTACACTGACTATGTGAAATCACTGGGAAAATGGAGAAAATAATTTCCTGTGTTCTGTTGATCAAAACAGAAATTCCAGCTGAGCTCAGCATCTTGGCAGTGTTTAACAGCTGCTTACCACTGCAAATGGATGAGGTGAGGTTGTAGAGAAAAGGATAAAACTGCATACAGCGGATCAACTTCAGGCTGCTCTCACAATCTGGGCACTTGGTGGTTAATTTCAGGGCCTGCCTGAAGGCCTCAAGTGCCCCACTGATATTCTTCAGAGCAAGGTAAGCATTCCCAAGGCTCAAAAAGGTCAGGGGCTGCAAATAAAAAGAACAACAAAAATATTAATGGGTTAATATTTTCCCAAGAATTACAAAACACTTAAAAGTCTATGTCTTAGACTGCTACTACTGTCCTGAGTCAGGAGGACCATTATCACAGGTGCAGCACTTCCTTCTGGAACACACCACCATGGCACCTCAGGCCCCTCCCATAGCCAGTACCTGAGATGCAGAGCCTTTGGATCTAGCCTAGCTGCAGCAGGTGGCTGGCTGAGAAGATTCCTAATTTACAGGCAATCTCTATGCCCAATTGAGACAAGTCTTCCCTTGAGTCAAAGATTAGAGATAGAGTGAGGGCAGTAAGCTGCCCTTCCCTCCTCTGGAGTACTGAGCTCCTGAGCCAAGGTTATTAAACCAAGAGCCTAGGGTCCCAGACAGAAAAATCTCTACCACAGCAATGAATGGGAGAAGCAGACTACCTCACATCCTACACAAAACCAAAACAAGATGTCACACCCCACAAAGAAAAGTGATCAAAACACAGAATCAGTGGATTCCCTGAAGCCAGAAAGTTTGATAGAACTTTTTGACACAGAATTCCAAAGAATAATGACTGTATATTTTCAATGGGTGAAAGACAAACTTGAAGAATTATAGAGCTCTGCAAGCAAAGCCAAGAGGAACTTAAAAAATAAATAAATAAATAAAAACAACCCAAACAAACCAAAAAAATCACCAATCCAAGACAACGTAGATAAAACAAGCAAGGCATTAGAGGTTCTGGAAAAACAAGAAACCACAATCTAGAATATAAGGACCAAAGTTTCAGATGTCCACATGTTGGAGGAACATAAGAACAGAGTTAAAGAGATGGAACACAGAACTAGTGAAATTGAAGAGAGACTTCTCAGCACTGATCTGCTAGAACAAAAAGGAGAATCAAAAAGGAAGAAAATGAAGAAAGTCTAAGAGAAATGTGGGGCACCATCAAGAGGAATAACATGTACATAAAAGGGAGCTCGGGTGGCCTAGTGGCAGGAACCTGAGCTGCAATCTCAAAGACATGCAGTTTGAGGGCACCAGCTGCTCCACGCGAGAAGGACGGGCAATCTCCTCCCATGCAATTAACTGCCTCTGAAAACCTGCTGGAGGGTCAGTTCTGGGTCAGTTCTTACCCTACAGTTGTTGTTATATGCTGTCACATCACCTGCTACTCACAGTGACCCTAAGCACAACAGCTCTGAACACTGCTCTATCCTGTGTCACTTTTATTGTCTCTGACACACTTAACCCCATCACTGAGTCAATCCATCTCATTTAGAGTCTTACGCTGTCGCTCTATTCTCCCAAGCATAATGGCCCTCTTTATAGACTGGTCCCTCCTGGCAACATGCCCAAAGTATGTCAGATCCTTCAGAATTGTTGCCTCCAAGGGGCAGCATGGTTTCATCCTTTCCAGGACAAACCTGTTTCTTCTCCTAGCAGTCTGTGGTTTATTCAATACTCTTCTCCAGCACCACTGCTCAAAGGCATCAATTCTCTTTCTATCATGCCTAGTCATTGTCCAGCTTTCTGAAGAATAGCACGTAATTGTGAGGCCTATTGTCTGGATCAGTCACACCTTAGTCTCCAGGCTGACACCATTGCTCTTCAGTGCTCCGGAGATGTCCCTGACAGCAGACTTTCCTAATGTAATTCATCTTTTGAATTCCTGGCTGCTGGTCGCAAGAATGTGGACTGTGGAACCAAGCAAACTAAAGCTATTAGCAATCTCAACCTCTTCACCATCTATATGGTACCCAACAACAACAAACAATTGGAATCCCAGAACAGGAAGAAGCAAGTAAAGGCACCAAAAAAGTTGTGGATGAATTACTAGAAGAAAACTTTGCAGGTATAATGAAGAATGAGATAATATATATACAAGAAGCTGAGTGAACTCCATCTAGAATAGACACCAAAAGAAAACCCCTCAAGGCATATCATAGTCAAATTTGCCAGAACCAAAGATAAGGAGAGAATTCTGAAAGCACCTAGGGAGAAATGAAGAGTAACCTATAAGGGAGAACAAATAAAATTAAGTGCCAATTTCTCAGCAGAAACCATGAGAGCAAGAAGACAGTGGAATGACATATATCAAACACTCAAAGACTACAAATGTCAGTCAAGAAACCAACAAAACTGTCCATCAAATATGACAAATATGACAGAGATCAAGAGATTCTCAGAAAAGCGGAACCTGATAGAGACTATAAAGAACAAGGCCAATGTTGAAGTAAAAAATACTGAGGGAAGTCCTTCTTAAAGAGATGCCACAAAAAGCAGGATGGACCAAAGTAACCACCAAAGAAACACCACCAAAAAGAACTTAAAAAAAAAAGCAGCAATAAAATCTTGCCTCTTAGTACCTACAGTGCACCAGTGAAGAGAAAGAGAGTAGCAGATTGGATAAAAACACAAAACTCATCAATATGCTCTCTACAAGAGACACACCTGAAAAGCAAAGATAAAGGGAGACTAAAAATAAAAGGGTGGGAAAAAAATATACCAAGCAAATGGCAAACCCCCCCCCAAAAAAAACAAAACAAAACAGGAGTAGCTACCTCTCCGAAAAAATGGATTTCAGCGTAAAAACCATCACAAAGGACAAGGAAGGTCACTATATAATGTTTAAAGATCAACAGAACAAGAGGACATAACCATAATAAATATCTATGCACCAAATGATAGAGTTGCAAAATATACAAAGCAGATGTTAACAGAACTGAAAAGAGGATTAGACAACCCCACAACAGTAGTAGGAGACGTCAATACACCACTCTCAAGAAAAGATTATAAGGGAGCTCTAGTGGCCTAGTGGCAAGAAGCTGTGTTATAACACTGAAGGTACCCGATTCAAATCCAACAGATGCTCTGCTGGAGAAGGAGGGGCAATCTCTTCCTGTGCCACTCGAATCCAATTCAGTAGTACACAACAACAAAAAGAAAAGATTATTTATTTTTTTTTAAAGTACGTCTTTTAGCTTCTCTTGCATTACTCCATAAAGGTTTATGGCTAGCCAACTGTTATATTCACACCAGCTAATCCTACATGGAATCTATTAAGTAAATTTGTTTTCTTTCTTTTCCTAAAGTACATAGAACTTTATGTAAAGGACTAGTCTTAAATATGAGCTTCAGTGAGTTTTTATATATGTGTAATATCTCTATAACCACAACTTACTTCAAGACAGAAATTCTAAGTTTCTACTACCGTAGAATAAGTTCCATTTCCCTTGGATAATTTCAGAGCAACCTTGAAAGTAACCACTATTGTGACTTCTATTATTAAGTTAGAGAGCTCTAATGGCACGGACTCTAAAGAGTAGTGCTGTCAACACAAAGACCACAGCTCTCTGACAGTGTGAATCCACTAGTGACTCCTTGGGAGAAAGAATGGCAATCTCCTCCAGTGAGATTTATAGCCTCTGAAACCCACTGGAGGGTCAGCTTCCAGTCAGCTCTAAGTGGATAGATATAGGTTATTATTTTAATTACCATTAAGTTAGTGCTGCCTGTTTCTGAATTTTGAATAAGTGGAATGAAAACACATTCTCTCTTATGTACCCTTTTATGACTTATTTCACTCTATGATTAAATCTAGGATTTTGTAACTGTAGTTCTTTTTTATTTTTTAATTGACATGTAAAGCTCTGTTGTCCGAATATGCTAGTTAGTTTAGCCATTCTCCTATTGGTAGGTATTTTCATTACTTCTGGCTTTGAGTTATTATGAATAGAGCTACAATTAACACTCTTGTAAATTTCTTTTGGCAACTGCAAGTACTCATTTTCCTTGGCTGTACTTAGTAGGAGGTCAGAAGAAAAGTATATACAATAAAATCTTTGAAAGCAGGAACCTGGGTAATGGAAACTGTCAGAGGAGGAAAATGAAAGTATCTTTCACGATCAGAAAGCAATAGGAAAGCTGGAAGATGCACCCAGTGGAAGACAGATCTATGAGACCTGAAATAACAAGGCATTCACATTGAGTTCCATCTCTCACAAGTTTCACTGCTGTTGTAGTCGATACAGCCAAGTCGTTTTCCAAAGCAGATGAAGACATTTACACTCCCACGAGCAAGTACAAAAATGCACTGACTTCGCGTGTTAGTCTTTTTTAACTTAGCATGTTGAAATGCTATCTCACTGTGGCTTTAATTTGCATTTCGCTGATGAGTAATGATGTAGAGCATTTTAAAAAAATGTTCTTACTGGCAATCTCGGTGTCCTCTTTTTTGAAGTGATTGTTCTTTATCCATCTTAAAAGAAATGGATTTTTAAGAAAACTATTTGGAGGACTTTTTTGTATACACTGGATGTAAGTGTCTTAAAGAGATTTCTTGCTAGTACCTTCCCCTATCCTGTGGTTCACTTTTGTACTTTTGGTTTTTTAATAAAATTTTTATTTTATACTGGTTTACTTACAAAGTTCGTGTACATTGTTTTTCACACCAGATCTTTCCCATTTCCTTTACTCATCTTTTCCTCTAAATTGTGAGACTCTATGATTACCCCTATGTCCATACTCACAACTCTGCTGCAAGCCTTCCCTCACATTGGATCCTCATACACATTTTGTAACTGAGTTATCAGTCTTCTTGGGGAGGCCCTGTAGGATTCTGTAAACTTTTGCTATTAGACCCTTGTCTGAAATGATATTGCCAAATGTTTTTCCCCAGTCAATAGGTTTTCTTTTTTACCCTGTTGGAAAAAGTTTTTGATGCACACAGTGATTTAATCTTTATAAGATCCCATTCAGCAATTTTATCCTCTCCAGATTATACATTTATGCCTGTATTTGGCAGTCTCTTGATAACATAGACTAGGTGATCTAAGCTTGATTCCAGTTTGTCTCTGATGGACTTTATGGTTTGGGGCTTTACTCCCAGGTCTCTGCTCCACTTTGAGTTGAATTTAGTGTAAAGTGTGAAATGTGGGTATTTTTCAGATTTCTGCAGGTAGAAGTCCACTTTTGCCAGTACTTTTTTTTAAGAG